AGGGTGGCTCCCCACAGCTCGCTCCACTGCCCCTGCTGCTCCAGACCCTTCCTCAGCTCCATTCTCTTCCCTGGAGGTGCTCTAGCACATCAAGGTCCTTCTTGTCATGAGTGGCCCAGAACTGCCCCCAGCACTGGAGGTGCCTCAGCAGTGCCCACACAGAGGGAAGGCACTGCCCTGGGCCTGTGCCCACACTAGCTGGTACAGACCAGGTGCCATTGGCCTTCTTGGCCACCTGAGTGCACTACTGGCTGAGGATGCAACATCCTATGTGGTGTTCCAATCTTCCTCCCTCTCAGTTTCCTGACTGCAGGAGGTGACATCGGCACCAAAACATGTTGAAGGATCTGCCATTCTACTGCAGCTCCTCCCATGTGGGAAGAGGATGGCCAGGGGAGCCATCAGATGGGAATTCCCAAATCCATGAGTGTATCATGCAGCTGAACTGAGAACTCACTGCGGCCAGAAGTTGCCGAGATGAGAAGTAAACGTATTTAAAACGTTGCTGTTAGCACCAGAAAATGGGTTCAGCTCCCATCCCTGAAAATCCTGAAACCTCTGCCAGAGGCTGCGAGGCTACAGGCAGCATGCATTCCTTTCCTCACACCCTCTGGAAGCATGTGTGGCCACTGCAGAGGGAAGGTATGGAGCTGGGTGGGCTTTGCTCTGACCCACTACAACCGTTCTCACTCTTGATCAGCAAAGCTCAAGGCTGAGTGTCTTAAGGCTATAACATCAGCTCTCCTGAAAACCCATGGCTGAGGTTTGATCCATCAGCCATGGAAAAGAGACTGGAAAATCCCATCCAATACAGTCACAAACAGCACGGCTAGTCCAATGCCAGGAACATAAGGCTTTGGAAAAGCAAACCAGATCTGACTGTCCACCCTTGGCACAACATTCTAATACCATCCCAGATTTGACCTGGGAACGTGAGAAGCCAGGAGTGGAGCAAACAGTGCCTGGAATCAGCTCTCCATGGTGAAGGGATGTGTTTGGACATACCCAGTGGCTTTCAGCAGTGCTGCCTCAGTTGTCAGGACAAACTGGTGGACAGTCCCATAGACAAAAGCTGCTTCCATCACAGCTCTGTGCTCTGGAAAGAGAAAGGCAAGAAGAACTCATCTCTGTTCCCTCCAGATCTCCTGTTTCACCCTGCCCAGGTGTAAAATACCACTTCCCAGGCTTTCAGAAACTCTTGGTACAAAGCCTCAACAGTCTGAAGACACACTGGAAAGGGAAGTGAGGAGTTGGAGCTGTTCCTGACCCGCAGCAATGCTGTGTGTGAAACCATTCAAGGAGCTGCCTATGGACTGATTTTCAGGGCAGCACCCACTGACATGCTTTCCCTCTCAAGTCCATCTCTGAAAGCTTATGCTCCCAGCAAAACTTTTCTGGTGCAACTGATCCCTTTGGAAACACATGAGGACATATGGAAGTGGAGAACTTGTGGCTGGGTGGCCCTTCCAGGTTGCCTTGACCCTCCAATTTGCAGGATTTGGGGTCAGAAACTCAACTACTTTGGACTCTGGTAAAAAAGGCTGCGGGAGGAGAGCAAAGATGCAAAGCTGAGTGTCAATACCTGCTGTGCCAGTAGCTGGTACATAGGCAAAGACCATGTTTGACTTCCCCTTCAACACTTGTTCAATGTTCTGAAGGTCTGTCAGTGTTTCAATGTATTTCACTTCATTGAAGAGCAGAGCACTGAGGAGGCAGAAATCAAAACTCATTAACAACTGTCTTCTTTGCAGCCACACAACTGTGATGGGAAAAAGAAGGTGACATTCCAGCTTCTTGATGGATTGAAGATTTACAGCCAAACACAGCTGTCCAGATGTGTGCTGGTGAGTTGTCTCCTAGATTTAACAGGGTCAAACCAAAGCGAAAAGCAAGACAAAGCTTCGGCTTGGCTGAGAATACAAAATACAGAACACCTGGAATGCAGGTGCAAAATGTTGCATCAACACATGGAAATGGGAAGTGAAAGGTTTCCTGGGGGTGGATCAGGTATGTACTCACAACAGGACACTGGCGACGATGGAGTCCACGTCAAACAGGGCATCGGTGGGGAACTCTCTGATCAACATGTGACCTCTGGGGAGGGAAGAGAGAGTCACCTGAGGAACTCTGAGAGCTTCTCCACACATATTACACCAGGCATAAAGGAGCTTGTCCATTCTCTCAAGCCAAGATGGGCACAGGATAAGGAAGACAATGGAGAAATGGGAGAACACCACTAGAGTTGGCTTTGATCCAGCTGGGAATGATTCAAGCCCATTGTACCATGGGTGGAGTTGAATATGTTTCTGCTGCCCTTTGGGACCTGGTTAGTGGTGGCCTTGGCAGTGCTGGGGGCATGTTAGACTCAATGATCTTAGAAGGCTTTTCCAATGCAAATGATTCTATGATTCCATGTACAACAGCCAGTGAGAACTGAGCTGAAACACAGAGAAGCTTCCAACCCAACCTTGCCCCAGCCCTGGCAGTGTTCAAAGCCAGCCTGGATAACCTGGTCTAGTGGTAGGTGTCCATGTCCAGGGCAGGGTGTTGGCACTAGATGATCTCTAAGGTTCAGGAACAGGAAGAATTTCTTCCCAGAAATGGTGATTAGACACTGGAATGTGCTGCCCAGGGAGGCGGTGGAGTCACCATCCCTGGAAGCATTTAGGGAGAGACTGGACGTGGCACTCAGTGCCATGGTCTGGTTGTCATGGTGGTGTTAGGTCATAGGTTGGACTTGATGATCTCAGAGGTCTTTTCCAACCTGACTGACTGTGATTCTGGGAACACTGACAGAGGACTTCTCCCATGGTTTCATTCCACATCCCACAGAATGCTGCTCAAAGGTTTTGCCCAGAGGACAAAGTATCTATTTTGCCTGTGTTGGACCTTTCGCGGATAGTTCTTTCTGAGCTATGTAGGTTGCTGCTGTTCCCATGGCTCCTTTCTTGCTCCACAAACATCTCTGACTGCTGACAGTGTCCCCTTCAAACACTTGCCCTGGGAAGCAACCCCAGTGCAGTGCCCAGAAATCCTCTCACCTGAACAGATAAGCTTTCCTTAATGCATTTTCTTTTCCACAGTATCTTGAGACATCCTCTTTGGGACAATTAACCTAGGCATTAAAAGAATGTAATTAGACATTCAGCTCCACAAATAATCACAGTTTCACAGTATTTTAAGGGGTTAGAATGGACCTTAGAGATCATTTAGTCCCAACCCTCCTAAAAACAAACACATTAAAGAGTGTAAATTGACCCTTTCCAAATGTGCTGGGAGAGAACATACACGAAAATGGAGACCAGGCATGGAGATTGGAGTTTGCACTTCAGTTCTCCAGCTCAGCTTGTTGATTTGAGTCAGATGGGACCAAGAGATCTCATGATCTGCCCAGCACATTCAGGTGACAGATCACTGATTACTTATTAAACTTGGCCTGTAGCTGGAGGAAATTATATACATATATATAAAAGCATTTCTTATAGCCTCATTACATTTGCCTGGATTTGTAATTCCCTCACCTAAATCAGCCAAAATCACCTTTCTATGAAATATTTATTGCAGTGAGTTGAAAGGATGGACAGCATGGACAATGGACATCAGAACAAGTTGCCCAGAGAAGCTGCTGTTGCTCCATTCCTGGAAGTGTTCCAGTCTAGGCTGGATGGGGCTTGGAGCACCCTGGGCTGGTGGAAGGTGTCCCTGCCCATGGCAGAGGGTGGAATGAGATGGGCTTTAAGGCCCCTTTCAACCCAAACCAATCTGGGAATCTATGATTCCATCTCATTCATGTTCTCTCAGCTCTCCATTCCTCCATCCCTCCCAGCAGTTTCCGTGTGCCCCACTCACCTTCACCACAGAAATGCCATAGTCCTGGAGGGCCTCAGCTGAGCTCTCGATCTGCTCCAAGAAGGGCTGAGCACCAGGGGAACCTGAAAGACAAACAAACCCTCTGCAGCTCCTCAGAGCTAAGAGCATTCTCCTGCCACAGGCTGAGATGTAGAGCGGTGTTGGTGTCTCAGTCCACAGCAGTATCTTTGAGAAATCACACTTGGGAATCATCAAGGAGCAGAACAACAAAGCAAGGCCAAGGATCTCCTCCTAATCCTGCATGTAAGGGATACCATTTTCCCTGGCAGGCACCATGGAAAAGAAACCAAGCCCCTTTGAGGGGACAACTCCCTAGAAAGCTGAGTTTCTCTTCCATGGTTACTCCAGAAAATATTCCAGAAAATTAATGAAGAACTTTGCAGGAATGTGCCTGGGGACACAGCCAGGAAAAAAAAAAAACATCCCAGGAGGTCTCTGCCTGTCAGGAGCAATTGGAACTGTACAAACACAACCAGCTCTTCAAAATCTCTTTGGGTTTAAAAATCTCAAGAATTGCCTCTTCATTGAGGAGGGCACAAGTTGATTAGAGGGATGGAGCAGCTCTCCTACCAGGAAAGACTGGGAGAACTGTGAGTGTTCAGTCTGAACAGAAGGCTTAGGAGCAACCTAACTGTGGCCTTCCAGTACCTGAAGGGGCTCCAGGAGAGCTGGAGAGGGACTTGGGACAAAGGCCTGGAGGGACAGGACACAGGGAATGCCTTCCCACTGCCAGAGGGCAGGGACAGATGGGATATCGGGAAGGAATTCCTGGCTGTGAGGATGGAGAGGCATTGGAACAGGTTGCCCAGAGAAGCTGTGGCTGCTCCATCCCTGGAAGTGTTCCAGGCCAGGCTGGATGGGGCTTGGAGCAACCTGGGCTAGTGGAAGGTATCTCTGCCCATGGCAGGGGGTGGAATGACATGAGTTTTAAGGTCCTTTCCAACCCAAACCACTCTGGGATCCTATGATTCCTCCCCCACTCATGTCCTCTCACCTCCCCATTCCTCCATCCTGGAGATGGAAAGGGACAACTGGATTCACTGCGAACTGATGGTGTTGGATACACCCATGGGACTGAGCATTTAAACTGGAAGAGGGAAGATTTAGACCGGATATTGGGAGTAATTCTTGGCTGTGAGGGTGGTGAGGCACTGGCACAGGTTGCCCAGAAAAGCTGTGGCTGCTCCATCCCTGGGAGTGTTCCAGGCCAGGTTGGATGGGGCTTGGAGCAACCTGGGCTGGTGGAAGGTGTCCCTGCCCATGGCAGGGAGGGGGGTGAGATGCCCTTTAAGGGCCTTCCAACCCAAACCATTCTGTGATTCTATGATGATTCCACATGAGTCTTGCTAAGCCCTCAGGCTGTGTAAATGCACACTCAATACATACCACTGTGGCTGAAATAAGCCAGGGATGCTCGTCCAGCTTCCAAGCTGCTGAAATAGCGCTGGGGGCTCGGCTCTTGCAGCATTCCCGCGCCTCCTTGTGTTGGGATATAGGAAGCACAGCAGAGCAGGAAAGAGAAGGAAGAAACCCACCTGTCCTTTTGGGCTGACATGGCTGTTGTCAGCTATAGGCACAGGAGAGTCACAACTGGGGGAAAAAGCAAATCAAATACATATTATATATATACACACACACACACATGTAATGAGTTTTCTATGGTTTGATCCTGCATGACTACAATTTCTAGGTGTGACACCAACATCTCAAGGACATCATGAGTTAGTCACTCAAACCACAGGTGACTCAGACCAAAGAGGACAACAAAGGCCATCCTCTTCCCTCTGAGCCTTACCTGCCAGTGCACAGACCCTCAGTGCTTCCACTTTAGAGCTGGTTTTCTTGCCTCATTTTCATTTCGAGCCAAACAAAAAATCCAGGTGCAGGCACAAAACAGGGATAGTATCGCACCAAAACTCCCACCCAAACTGGCTCACTTGTTGCTAGAAAGCTGTGAGGATGCCAATAGCCTTTGTGTGCCACTGAAAGGTGTTTGCAAAGGGATGGAACATACCAAGGTTGCCAAAAATCTTGGCTATTTGAGATTGGAATTTGGGTCTTCTGTTCCAAAGCAAAACACAAATGTGGATGTTCTGACACCTCTTTGTGGTCAGAGTGAAAGAGAATTTTGCAGGTGTTTATGATGACTTTGTAGCTGAAGTGCTTAACATGAGGAGGTGAGGCTGCTGCTTCAGGAACTCATGTTCTGAACTCATCTTTTATGGAATAATCAGTTTCTTTCTTGCACTTATAAGGGTGTCTGTAACTGAAATGATGCTATTTTTAGAAATGCTATTTTTAGAAATGCTATTTTTAGAAATGCTATTTTTAATTTCCTCTGTGTTCAGAAGTTCTGATACAATTTAAACTTTCAAGGATTAATAAAATCCAGATTACTCTTGACCTAGTAAGTCAGACAAGACTTCTGCAGTGTCTTTCCTGCTCCAGGCTACTGATTTTGCCACTTGTTAATCGCCACTTTTATTTTCAGGTACAATCCCAGAATTAAGGGTTGGAAAGGACCTTAACAATCATCTAGCCCCAACCCCCAATCCATGTATTAAGCATGAATATTCCTGAACAGATTGATTCTAGTGGAAGATGTCCCTGCCATGGCAGGGGGTGGAATGAGATGGTCTGTAAGGTTCTTCCCAAACCATTCTGGGATTCTGGGATTCCATTGCTCACTTCAGACCATGCCAAATGATGCAGGGAGGTTAGAGAGCAGGATACAGGATGAAAATCCACCTTCTTCCCACTTCATTCCCAAGTTCCCTCCCAGCCTGCTCCTCAGGTGTTGGTCTTTGGCTGGGCCCTGGGAACAAAGGGACAAAACTGGAACTGAAGCTGTATGGAAGCTCCTTGCTCAGCATCCCAAGCTGCAGCTGCTTCCCTCAACAAACACCCCTGTGTCCATGGATTGTCATTCCTTCCAAGCCCCTATCAGATGCTGTCAGCTTACTGTGGCTGCTCTGGGATGAACCCAAGCTCGAACACTCAAAAACAAGCAGGAAAAGTCCCTGTGCCTTGCTCTGAAAGTAAGGGGCTAGTGACAGCTCAGCTTCACAGGCTCCTCATGGAGCTGAGGTGTTGGCATCAGTCCTAAATGGCACAAAGGAAGAAAGACAGAGCTGGAACAACATTAATATTATTCTTTTCATCTCCAAATCCCTCCTTTCCAGCTTTGGGCAGTGTAAGACATTGCTGGTCCTGTGCCCTCCCATCTGTTCCCCTGGCTCACAGAGGGGACAGGGATCAGGGCAGGAGGGTGATGTTTATTAAACGACAAACTTGGCTACAGCAGGATGGAAAAATAAACACAGTCCTGGCATGTGGGAACAAGCCCATGTCAAATGGGAGAGCTCACTGTCAAGGGAGCAAGAGGAGCAGCCTCCAAGGACTCAAAGATGTCATGATGACATTATACCTGGAGGAGGGTGTCAGCAGTTTAAAACACAACTCCAGTTCCCAGGGAGACCTTAGAGCTCCTTCCAGTGCCTAAAGGGGCTCCAAGAGTGCTGCAGAGGGACTTTGGACAAGGGTCTGGAGGGATAGGACAAGGGGGAATGGATTCACACTGCCGGAGGGCAGGGATAGGTGGGATATTGGGAAGAAAGTCTTGGCTGTGAGGGTGGTGAGGCACTGGCACAGGTTGCCCAGAGAAGCTGTGGCTATTCTATCCCTGGCAGTGTTCAGGGCCAGGTTGGATGGGGCTTGGAGCAATCCATGGCAGGGAGTGGGATGAGATGAGATTTAATGTCCTTCCAACCCAAACCATTCTGTGATTCCATGAAAATGTGTGCTCATCCCTTCCCTAATCATGTCCTCTTCCCTCCTCATTTCTTCCTCCTGCCCAGCAGCTTCCCTCTGTTCCCTATCCATCCAGACTTGAATATTCAGCTTTTAGGCCATTTCCTTTGTCACCACTTTTCCATCAAGGGAAAATTAACACCACAGGGCTGGAAAGAGCCAAACCCCTGTACCACAGACACTTGCAGGATTACCAGAGATGTGTGAAAATTCCATGGATGTGTGAACCAGCTCTGTGTCACTGCTGGGAAACCTTAAGCCCATGGACCAGGGACAGCCTAGCACAGCACTGATGGAATGCAGGGCCTGGTTCATGTTTCCACTGCCATAATTCCAAGCCAGAGCCAGACAAGGTGGTTTAGGTCACTGTAGGTGACCTAAAGTGAAATCAAATACAGGATGTGTGAAAATTCCATGGATGTGTGAACCAGCTCTGTGTCACTGCTGGGAAACCTTAAGCCCATGGACCAGGGACAGCCTAGCACAGCACTGATGGAATGCAGGGCCTGGTTCATGTTTCCACTGCCATAATTCCAAGCCAGAGCCAGACAAGGTGGTTTAGGTCACTGTAGGTGACCTAAAGTGAAATCAAATACAGCCACCCAGCCCAGCACAAACTCTTCTGTGAGTATATGTTGCTTGTGCCACATCAGCTTTGCCTAGGAATCCTGGAGTGGAAAGCACGGGCTGGGATCCTGCACCACCTCTGTGATTCCAGCTGCTTTCCCTGACACTTTGCCTCTCACAGACCCCAGCTGCTGATATTTGTTACCGAGGAAGCTGAGCTTCCTCAATGGAGGCTGATGTGGGGTGGGTTTAAGACTCACAAGACAAGGAAGAACTTGTTGGATTCCTATGGCAATCATAGGCTGCACAGCCACCCAGGCACCTTCTCCATCATCCACGGGTTTCTCCTGAGTTCAAGAAAGCACCACCAGCCCAGACTGGTGCCAGTGATGGAAAATCTACACTTATGTCTGGTCCAAATATGATCATAGAATTCCAGACTGGTTTGGGTTGGACATTAAAGTAAAGCTCATCCAGTCCCACCCCCTGCCATAGACAGGGACACTTTCCACCAGCCCAGCTTGCTCCAAGCCCCATCCAACCTGGCCTGGAACACTCCCAGGGATGGGGCAGCCATAGATTCCCTGGGCAACCTGTGCCAGTGCCTCACCATAAATGTTACACTGCTGCTTCCCCTTTGTTTTATCCCATCACATCAGCACTACCTTCCAGCCTGTAGAGCCCTCACCTGGCAAGTTTTACTTCCCTAGGTAGATGCTCCTAAACCAGGAGCATTTAGGATGCTCCTAAATGGAATCACTTCAAGCTCTCCTGTGATTACTGACCCAGATCAGGCCTTTCCTAGCAGCAGGACATTGACCCCACACCCAGCTGGCACAGCTTTTTGGCACTGCGTTCCATGCCTTTCTGGCAGCAGTTAGCCAGTGTGCTGCTCTCCCAGATTTCCTGGCAAGGACACAAACCAGATCCCAAATCCACGTGGGGCTGACTCAATTCCTTAGCTACAACAGACTGGACAGCACAGTAGAGTATGTCCCAGCACAAATATCTATCCTGCTGCTGCTGCTGCAAAATGCAAAGGAGAGTGGAATGCTGATGGCTCTTCCTGGATTTTGGTCCATGCACACAGGTTTCCTTTAGATGATTCAGAAAAATCACAGATGCATGGAATGATTAAACTTGGAAAATCCCTCTAAGATCATTGAGTCCAACCATTCCTCAGCACTGACACCACTAACCACGACCCCAAGTGCCACATCCACATGGCTGTTAAATCCCTGCAGGGATGGTGACTCCATCACTGCTCTGAGCAGCTGTGCCAGGGCTAGACAACCCTTTCCATGAAGAAATTTTCCCTAATAACCAACCTAAACCTTCCTTTGTGTAATTTGAGGCTGTTTCCTCTTGTCACTTGTTCCCTGGGACCAGAGCCTGACCCCACCTGGCTGCATCTCCTGTCAGGGAGTTGTAGAGAGCAAGAAGGCTCCTCCCTGATTCTCCTTTCCTCCTGGCTGAGCCCCCACAGCTCCCTCAGCTGCTCCTCATGAAAAGCTCCCTGAAAACCCTAGTGTTCCAGCCATCTGCTCTACAGATCCACGTGGATCCCTCCAGCCACACATCAGCAACCATCAAGTCCTTCCCCAATGCATCCAACTTGCTCACAGCCAGCTCGTTCAGAGAAGGAAGCTGTCCCCACAGCTGTACTGTCCATAAATCTCTTTCCTCCTGAAGAAAGGATAAATTGGATCTTTAGAGGCAAAACCAGAATCCTTGGTATCCCACTGAGGTGTACCTGGATGACACTGACTCTCTGGTGACAACCCACTACGTGAAACTGTTACCCTTTGTCCAGCAGGATTTGAATTCACAGGAAGCCCACACAGCCCTGAGTACATCCCTGACAATTCCTGATGTATACTGCTGACAATTGCTGGAATACTGCTTGTGCCAAGCAGTATCTAAGTCCTTTTTTTTCCTCCAGGTGAGGTTATGTGCCAGTATTATGGAATACCATGGCTGCCAAGCAATAACCTCACTTCCTTGACTCCTAGATATCGGGAAGGAATTCTTGGCCGTGAGGGTGGTGAGGCACTGGCACAGGTTGCCCAGAGAAGCTGTGGCTGCTCCATCCCTGGAAGTGTTCCAGGCCAGGTTGGATGGGGCTTGGAGAAGCCTGAGCTAGTGGAAGGTGTCCCTGCCCATGGCAGGGGGTGGAAT